TTTAATTTTTATCATGACATTATGGAAAATAATGAACTTTATCACAATATTCTAATTTTATGACCAGCACCTGTATGTCATAGAATAATTGTGTATATTTTACAATTTTTTTCAACAACCTTCAGTCTGAAGGACAACCAGTTCAAAATCTGGACATGAATCCAGTCTCCATTCAGCCCAGCTGGGATCAAAACTGGGATTAATTTCATAATGAATAATCAGTACAATTATCAACCTTTACATCTACAAATGTGGTAAGTGTTATACCCCAGTTCTTTCCTTTGGTCTATCGCTTAGAAATACTTTAAAGCTTAGTTGTTGTTATTTTTTTTTTCTAGGCTCTGTAAAAACAAAAGGAGCCCAAAGCAACAAACACATATGTAGGAAAGACTTTTCTGTCATTTGTAGCAAATGCCTAAATGTTTGTTATTGTAGTACGATTCTCTGGTAAAAAATTTCCATTATGGGCCTTAAAACTGTCACTGAATGTGAAAAGTCCAAAAACAGCATGGTTCTCATTTATGGCTAATCCTCACACCTAATAAAGACTCATCTAGATTATAATTCCTCATTCAAAAGCTTGTGTGACTCCTTCAGTGTGAGGGTGACCAATTTACAGTAACCTCATCAGATGGTGTTGATCCTGCAGTTTCAACCCTTTTTGTCGACGCTTACTTGACTCAAATCGATGTTTAGGATCACTGAGTGTACGTCTGATGAAGGGTCTAGTTCTCCCCTTAAATGTCCGTCCTCTTCAGGTGACAGAGGTTTAAAAAGCTTTACAACACAGAAGAGAGCTTACAACAGCAAATGTTTGGTTTCTTTTTTACTGGGACGTCGTTTTAGATCCAGAATAAATGTGAATGTGGGAAGAAGATTCATCCAACAAACAAGCAATCTGGGTCACGACTGAGTTACGTGTTTAAATCACATTTTTCTTTTCATTAAGTCATAATGGCAGTAGTTTTTTTTTTTCTTTTTCAATACTGCATTGTGTTTAGAAGGAACTAGAATTAAAATTAGAAAAAAAAAAAAATCTCTCCTCCGCAACAGTCAAGATTTGTAGCCACTTAGTAAATAATTTGAGTTTATCAATCAGTTTCCCCTCAGCCACACAAACAGAGGAACCCAGCGCAGCGACTTACCGGGGATCCAGCATGCTGCTTAATATGGATTAATTATCATCACTCGGCTGTCTGTGATGCAGCTACTTGTACTTGACCTCAAAATCAAGGAAATGGATGCAAATTAGTCCTCATTAATCACTGGGAACAAACAAACAAACACATTTTCTGTTCATTCAATTTACCGCGGCTCATTTAGCTCTGAAGCCTGCTACGGGCGGCCTAAAAGCACTTTGATTATTTACAGTGCAGATAACTGTGTTGGCGGCACCCTGAATATGGTTTAATTGGACCGTTCGGCGCTGACGCTCCATTCCGTCAGTGAAATCACTAAAATGTGTCCGGGCGGGGTAATGGAGAGGGAAACGCTGGGATCCATTACCGTTGGCCCGGCACAGGGTAAACACAATAATAGTATGAGCGTATATTGACAGGAGGCATGCTATCTGTTGCCGGTTTTATCCGTGTGTCGAGAGTCGCCTCTCATCGCCAATCTTGCAGCGTTGCCGGGTTTAGTTAGGCTAAACTCACGCTTGGGTGCAGCTGCGAGGGGAGTCCTCCGTCCTTTGGAAATGAAGAAAGGAAACGGGGTTGTAATGAAGACGAACAGCAGAATTTAAATTGTGTTTATTTGAAGCCAGCTCGGTGTGCGTGCACTAGCAAATGGCCTGCTCTGGTCAATTTTCCTCTCTCTTCTGCTGATGGTTTGTTGCAGGGATCAAGTGGATAATGGCGCTCTCTTCGCTTCTTCCCGTACTTCTTCTCTCAGGAGTGCGACGCTAATGTGGAACTGCGTTGTCGATAAATGTGCTCACGTATTGCCTAGAGTGGAAAACACCACTTTTTGCACTATTAGCAGGAGTGGTACAAGAGGATTTTCACCATATTATCATTATATTGTTCACTATAAAATCTCCCAACTCGAGCTGTATTAAGTGAAATGAATACTTATTAGATTTATTAGGCATATCAGGTGATGTGTCCTTGTGTAATAAAGGAGGGTGGAGCCCGTGGAGAACAACAAGCATCAATGTGTGCATAATTATTGGGCAGCTTTTATTCCTCCAGAAAAATAGGGTTAAAAATAAAACTGAAGTTCACTGACTCTAAAAAGAGTCGGGCTGTCTTTACGGAAGATTGAATTTATAGGAAATGCTGCCAATGCAACACATGTTCATGTTTTATTTTTACAAAATACAAATGGTACTTTGTATTTGCCACATTTTGAGCTCTACAAAAAGTGCATATGGCAGTGAAAATAAAATATATTTTTTTTCATCTTTATGTTTGTTTTTTTTTTTTTTTTTTTTTTTTTTTTTTTTTTTTTTTTTTTTTTTTTTTTTTTTTTTACTATTAGTGTCTATTGTTGTAAAAACACTCTGACCTTAATTATCCTGTTCTTTACTTATTACTTCTTTGGCCATGTTAACCAACTGTTCCACTAAATTAACTTCATTGCTTTTGTTTTCCAGCTGAAGAGCACCATGCAGCATATAAGCCTCCAAGTCACCCACGACACTACAGAGTAAGTCCCTCTGTAGATTTATTTCATTTTGTCTGATCTGATATAAAATCTGACCCAGCAGATGCAGAGAGTCCACATTCCTCTCTTGTAGTGACATTTGTCACTGAAATGTCACCAGTGAGTTTGATCGTAGTGACCTGGAACAGGAGCAGAGAAAGACGTGGTGTTTACCGCATTGATTTCTGATTTCATGTCGCTACAAGTTTTAGCTCTCACAGATTCCATCAATTTTTTATTTTTTTTATATTTGGGGATTCTGACATGTTTCAGGTCATCTAACACGTTTTTCTGACAAAGGCTCAAGAGAAAGACAATCCAAACCAATTTAGAACCATGTAGAAAATGTAATTGCCCCCTAAACATTAAGCTACCCTTGCCAACAATAACTACTATCAAGTGTTTATTATACCTAATAACACTAACAGTCAGTTAGGGGGTTTAAGCAGAAACATAGTATGACGGCATTTTAATCAGATGTGTGCCCAGTTTTTGACTTGACCACTCCAAAATCGTAATTTGCGTGTAATTATTCAGACTCTAACTTACCAGTGTGATTTGGATCAGTGTCCTGTAGAAGTCACGGTTCAGTCAGTTCAGTTCTCAGCGCTGAAAGAATGAACTCAACCTCAGATCGCCACCATGGTTGATTGTTCTGATGATGTTTTGCAACATTCATAACAGAATTGTCCACCTTCCAAAAAGTTTGATTTTAGTCTTGCCAGTCTACAGAGTAAGTCTTGGGGATCATCATCATCATCATCATCATCATCATCATCATCAAGATGTTCATTTTTGCTATGACCCCTATTTTATTAACTGAGGCAAGTGAGGCCTGCAGTGTTTTAGTTGCTGTTCTGGGTTCTTGTGCAATCTGCTGGATGAGCTGACAGTTTTTTTTTGTTTGTTTGTTTTTTTATTGGTAAAGCATTGTCGTTTTTGTGTTTTCCCCAAAAATGAAACTAATCTCTTTAGTTTCCAATGTGGCGCCCACAGCTGTTTTATTGTTGGACTAAAGCCGTTCCTACCCCTGGTTCAATACCACACTTATGTTATGTTGGGATCAATATTACTTTTTTTGTGTGGAAAAAAAAAAAGCTTCTTTTTATGCACAAACCAGGATAAACTTGTCTTGGGGGGGGAAAAAAAAAAAAAAAAAAAGACCCGGGGCCTCAAAAAAAAAAAAAACAGGGCTGAATTTTCAAATTTTTTTNTTTAGTAACAAACCAGGAAAAACTTTTCTTGGGGGGGGAAAAAAAAAAAAAAGACTCCGGTGACCTGAAAAGAAATAAACCAGGCTGTAATTTCCAACTTTTATTCCAGATAGCAGTGACATGATACAAACATTTGTAATTTGCATTAGCGATTGCCACGCACAGTTTGAGTAAACAATCGGGTTAAAAGCAAAAGCTCTGCCGTTGAAATACAAATGAATTCATACTAATGTGAAAAGAAACCTGTTCTGGTAATCACAAGGGAATGTTGATGTGTTGCCTGCTCTGTTAAATTCTCAATCCTTGTTAGCTTAAAGCTGCTAAAGCTACCAGCTGCCCTAGTCAGTTAAACAAAACAATTATGTAAATTAAACCGCATTAATCCAGATAAGTTGTCAAGACGAAGAAGCTTCAAAATAAAGTCTACTTCCTCTTTGGTGAGCATTAAACGTCTTCCGTGTTGAGGGGGAAGTTTGAAACAAGCCGGAGTTATGAGAGATGAGAGGAGCAAAACACAACAAAGAGAGACAGATGGAGAGACAGGAATGGTAAATGAAGTAATGACGGAGGCAGAGCAGTGGAGACACGGCCCAGGAAGACTGACAGCTGTCCTCTTCAGTCTGACATCCACCACTCTGCAGATCCTGCCTTGTGAATATGAAACAACAGGCAGAGTGGAGGGAGAGCAGGAAGGGCGGTGGGAGTCAAGAGTTGAGAGGAAGGAGACATCTCTGCCTTTTTTTTTCTTTCCTTTTTTTAACTAAAATTGAAGATCTGCTGTCAGCAAAACCATCACTGTCTGAGTGGAACTTGACAACATCATTACAACTTGCTTTGGTCTCGCATTAAAAACGTACCTTCTGGTTTCTTACAAGCCACCATAATATCATGAGAGCTTACTGAAACTCAGGGTTTCAGATCATCTGTTTAGCTGCTGAGTTAAGGTGGCGTGGTGTGCAGGGTTTCTTGAAAAGTCTGGGGGTTGATTTTTATTAATTTCCATGTCTGAAGTCTGGAAATTTAAAAATTAAAAAAAAAAAAAAAAAAATATAAATATATAAAAAAAATTTAAATTATAGAAAATTATAAAAAAATATAAATAATTATAATTAT